ATTATTATTATTATTATTATTATTATTATTATTATTATTATTATTATTATTATTATTATTATTATTATTATTATTATTATTATTATTATTATTATTATTATTATTATTATTATTTCTAACGCATGGATTCGTTGTGCGAACTGCAGGAGTTTCAAAAAGACTCGAGTATTAGTACTCGTAAGCATGGTATTGTACAAGGAAGAAAATCGTAACATTTCAAGGAATATTCTGGGAATGCTGCTAAAATTAATCTGAAGCACTTCATTCTAAATGAAGAAAATTGTTTTATGTATGTATTAGTTGAAGATATGATATATAATGTAATTTTGTTGGATGTAAGTTGTGCAACTTGGGATTTAAAAATAGAATACATAAATGATTATTTGGTCCAATAAGTTTTCCTTATGCGAGAGTTATTCCCCATATGTTTCAAATGTAAGGTTCCAGTCCACTAACTTACGAAAAATCAAAATTTGGTCCGCCAACATATCATCGCAGGTTACCTTAACTTGCTAGATTGAAATATCAAAAGTGTGTATACATTTCAGGGTAAATTGCTATAAATTAAATCCTCTGAACTAAGATCAAATTATAAATAAATAAATAAAAAATCCTCTTCTATCCATAATTACCAAGCCCCCTTAAAGTTTGTGTCATCTTACGTACATTGTCTTGTACCCTGATCGCGGTGTGAATTTTGACGAAATATAATTTGATTCCAAGGAAGATTACTCGAAAAATACAAATTTTACATCAGAGTTAGTTATAATAGTATTATTTCATGAGGGAGTAATTTGTAATATTTTTTTGAAAATAAAATACTAGCGTTTTCTCTTAGTCGTTTTGTATGAGGAGCTTTATTGCAACGTTTATCATTTAAGAGAGTTTTTATTTGATATTTCGAACTTTTAATCTATAAATTTATTTTAATTCAATGCATCTCCCTTCGTTATTCATTTGTTTTGTTTATATGGATTCTCCTAGCTAGTAGCTTTTTTCAAATTAATGGTCTAAGATTTTGGCATAATTAACATGGAAAAATATCAAGTCTTTTCAGAAGTGAATAACTAATTCCAATTTTGTTCCGATAAAATTATGACAAATAAAATATATAGAATGAAAACTTTTGTTCCACAATAGGAATTGTTTTATCAGAATCAATGAAATTTGCTAAATACTTTTTTTTTTAATTCATCTAAAGTAAAATAAAATAATAATAATGATATTAAAAATATCACCAAATTATTTGTAAGTTATTGAAATGTTGCTGAAAAGTCATAGGAATGTCACTGAAAAAATCTCTAAAGAAAAAATATATGAGGTCGGAGTTCGCCAAAATATCCTGTTTGTTAGATTGTAATGAATATCAGGGGGATTTAGTAATGATTGATACTTGAGGAGTATTTTGGTAATTCTATCATATCTCAGGGGTTTTTGGTAATTTATGATTTTTTTAATGTTATTTAATTTAAGGGTATTAAAGATAATTTAAGGGAAAGTACATTTTTTATCCCAAGTTTGCACAGACTTCACGTTTAGTCCCTCACATTCACTAAAAAAACTTATTTGGTCCCTTATGTTTCAAAAATTCAATATTTTTAGTCTTATTTTTTTTTTGTCTATTTTCCATTAAAACTGATAGAATCAAACATGTTCCCATCACTACCGTAACTGGCGGACTTACGGTAAATTAACGGAAATGACCAAAAGTGTCAAATGATTGAAACATGACCACATGAGGGACCAAATGTGGTTTTTGTGAATACGAGGGATCAAATGTGGAATCAGTGCAAACTTGAGGGGTGAAAACTGTAGATTTTCTGATAATTTATGAATACTTGAGGAATTTTTTGATAATTAGACTTTAATTCGGGGGTTTTTGGTAATTCACCATTAAAATAATTATTTAGATATTAAATTTTACTAGTTTTAAATACAAAAACACTCATGTACCATGGACTTTGTATCATATACCGCATATACTACACAATGACTTCTTCGACCCTACACCCGGTGATAAACACCGGGTGGAGCGTCGAAGAAGTCATTGGGGAGTTTATGGGGATAAGGAAAAAAGGCCAGGGGAACTGGGTTTTGGGTTTAAAAATAGGTGAAAGATAAAATCTTAAATATCTATTTAATTGGGGAATACCAAAAACCCCC